TCCCATTACAGGACTAATTTTGAGAGTAAAATAATATGATAGATGTAAATGCACTTTTTTCAACTTAAAATGGCCCCCAAATGGGCAAGGTATCGTGTTTATTGTTTTCAGGCTAAATTTTAAACTTCTCCAATCGAGGCAGAATTTTCCATCCCTGGGAGAGAGCGAATGAAAAGGCCATGTGTGGAAAGCAGAACAGAATTATCACACTGCGCATAGCATCTGGATCCCAGAGTGGGCAGTTGTCAACTTTAAAGAAAAATATTCTTAGGGATTTTTAAAGAGTACATTGGAACCATCAGTGGTGGAATTTCACCAGGATCTCTAGGGAGAAATAATTTGACACCTGAAACTTACAAAAGCAAAATAAGCATCATGAAATCCAATTTAATTAAGTTTAGAAGTTTTATAAATTGCATTTTTAAAGGCTTCAAGTCTCTATTAAATGCTGTAATTAAATAAACAATAGATGATTAATTATAATAGTGAATGTGTGTTTCTAAAGAGCTTAAATTGTTTGGTAAGCTTTATTAATGATTATAAACTTGTTTACAAGTATCATTTTGCTCATCTCTGAAATATGGCCATCTCTGGGGTAGAAGCTGGCAGCTGTAGTTCGCAGCAACGCAATAACAGACTCCAACACAATTCAGAGAATACTCTAAAGGCAAGAGCTAACCAAGTGGAATTGCTAACCTTTCTTCCTGTAGCACCTAAATTTCTTTTTGAGTTTCCTAAAAGTTGAATAGAGCCAAGATCATTCAGTTTCACTGCTGGCAAGATCAGACATTATGACTTAATATTTCTAAGGCAGAACAAGAGAATAGCATATTTTTTCCCATGGGGAAAGCAAATAAACAAATGAGTTAAGTAGAATCTTGAATTATGTTATAAAAGGGAAGAAATTTCCTAATGTTTCTCTCATTTTATTATATTAAGAAAATAAAAACTTGTCAGTTGGGTCAAGTATATGGTTGACTCATAATGAAAAATAATGTCAATTACATAAGATCTGGAATCAAAGTGGTTCTGCCAAAATATTTTACTAAGATAGACATAGACAGTAACTTTAAAATGATTGCGTGCATAAGGACAACATACCAGAATTGAAGAGAGCCACATTTTTTTTTGTTGTTGTTATCCTATCACTAATGATATGTCCGGAAATATTTGGTACAATTCCAAAATCAAGGGCTTGGGAAAATAACATTTTATGGGAGGAAAATGCTGAAAATTCTAATTTTAAACTGTTACAATTCTTGCTGCAATGAATAAGGATGATTTTACCAGAAAGTTAAAATAGTCAACGTTATTCCCTAGGAGTGGAGGATTTCACAGATGAAAACATTTATTAAGTGCTGCACCTTTCAGTGACATCCCGGAAGAGAACTTACTCCAAGCATTGCAGAAGATATTCCCTTTGGACATTAGCATCTCTAAAATCAGGTCTTGCAAATCTATTGTAGGACAATTATGATGCTCTCAACATTTAAATAGCCCACTGAGTCAAGAGTGCTAATGCTCTTATACACATTATGTAATGGGTATTAATTCTTTTCCAGATGGAGATGTAAAAACATCAGCAAGAAGCTTTCCCAAAGTATCATTACAGCCTTCAGCCTTCAGGTACATACACACACTTCAAATACATGTACAACGGAGAAGTATATAAAATTCATAGGGGCTGGGGATGTGGCTCAAGCGGTAGCCCGCTTGCCTGGCATGCGCAGGGCGCTGGGTTCAATCCTCAATACCACATAAAAATAAAATAAAGATGTTGTGGGATGTTGTGTCCACCGAAAACTAAAATAAATAAATATTTTAAAAAATTCTCTCTCTCTCTCAAAAAAAAATTCATATATGTATACACAGCAGAGTTACACTGGAGGCAGATCAACGTCCATGGAACCAGTCACAAACTAAAAAAGTATTGGACAAAATGATCTGAAGTTACAATGGCAATGAATAGAGTTGGGAAATTTTGGTAATTGTTTTGCTTTGTTTTCATCACTGGGCTGATGAATATGTCTTTGGGGATTGGGCAGTGTATGGATGCAGTCTGTGATGCATGAGAAGCAACATGGTATGCGGTGTACAGAGCTCGAGTCAGCAGCCTGGATCTTAATCCCAGGTCTGCCTATTACTAGCTACATCGTATCTTTGGGGAAGTAATTTTTCTTCTCTGGGCCATCTGTAAAACAAGTCTGTAATAGCAGCTATCAAAGCATCCTCTAACATTTAATGATCCTATGTAGTACATCCACAGCACAAAGAAGCAAATTGCCTTACAATTATCTAATTGAATTTGGAAAATAAACTAAAGTAGATTTCCTTTTTATGTAACTTATTAATGAAGGATCCTCTAATTCAGGAAGAAAAAAAAAATATTCTTCAAGATGTCCTAACAGTTCTCTCTACCAAATGAAAGTAATTAATGATCACAGAGGAAATAAATATAACTTTTATTAATAGGCCCTGCATGAGGAAATTGACACCAACAGCTCAAGATTTGGAAGAAATTACATGTAAGTGCTAGTCTTTTGAAAAGCCTTAAACTTTTTACTTGTAGCCCTAAAGATAACCTCTATTCATATTATTTGTAGCTTCTTAAAACTGTGAAAACATGCTGAGGAGAGTAAAAATTTAGGGAGTAGAATATATATGTGTACATAAGAATGTTTTGTGTGGATGTCTGTATTCTTTTTTTCATGGTATACTATTATGTTATACAATTTTGTCACCTCAAAAAATCAATGCACATTGATGCATACAACATAAATTGATGAGATGACTAAGCCCCATTTGATCTTTTGTCCTTCCAAAGGACAGTTGTTTCCAATTTTTCAACTATCATAAGCAATGCAGTATAAACATGTAACTTATGTCTCCTATGTACACATGCAGGGATTTGGGGGTAGCATTGGTAATTATACCTTTTTATGACAGCTGACATTGTAATCATGGGAAATTTGTGGGTAATAGGTTGGAAAACCCATGGACTTGTGCAATAGACCTGAGTTCTAATTTCAGTTCTGCCAACTGAAGAGCTATAGCCCTGGCAAGCCTTGATCTGTCTATTCCTCAGTAAGCCCTTCCAACTTCAGAATTTTCAAAGTCCTTTTCTTATATTTACTGAGAAGCAGAGATGATTGTTCTTGAGATAAAAATTTTTGAGAATAATTAGATATTTGTCTCCAAATTTTAATTGTGTTACCATCATGAGTCTTTCTAAAATCTTCCAGAATATTGGTACTTACATAAATTTAGGAGAATCTTGTTGCTGAAAGAAATGATTATTAGAGTTTCAGAATCTCATCATCTTTATACTTTGTGAACATTGGTTAATTAATTATTTAATTTTTAGAAAAGATCCCTCTTAGTTGCTGAGGGTCCCACTAAGTTGCTGAGGCTGGCCT